GAACCTTCACAAAAATTACTTAGATCTAAGGTCGAATTCAAATCCCGGTTCGATTGAAATCGAGTTCGAACCTTCACTAGAAACTACTTAAAATTAAGGCCGAATTCGGATCTCAGCGTGAGCTATCACCAAAAATGAGAGTGTACAACAGACATTGAACGTGTGTCTCAAAACGTGTGCAAAGCAAAAACCAAACGCAAACACATAAAGGCAGAAGAAAAATATGCATATACAAACAAAGTTCCCAGAGTTCAACTCTTGAATTCAAAACAGAAAATCAAAGCAAAGGGAAAATTAAACTAGGTCATAACAAAATTGGCCTACGTAGAGGCATTCTCGCTAGAACTATCCTCCACGTCGTCCTCCTTGACGAGCTCGGTCTTAACTCCTCGACCTACGGCCTTCAGAGCTCGGGGGGCTAGTGTACTGACCGTACTTCGCACCCGGGCTCCGAGCCCGGATTAGCGATACAAAGCCACCCCGGGCACACGCTGAGCGACGTCAGCCCGGTATTTGGGGCCCGGTATTTGGGCAGATCATTCCCGAACCCGGGGATCTCGTCCCAGATCAGAACCGCCCTCCAATTATATCATATCATATCTCATCATATCATATCATATCATATCATATGATATCTTATCATATCATATCATATGATATCTTATCATATCATATCTTATCTCAGGCCCAAGGCCCAAGACAACCCTAATTCACACAAAGGTATGTGCATTATTTATACGAGACTCATACTCCCACAAACACTAACTTTAGCATCAGAGTCTCTTTTGCAGGTACCACCCCCATCTTGGAGCACCAGCGTACCAATGAAAGAGGCTCGTCGATCTTACCCGGCGGATCAGCTCTACAGCAGATTTTCGGTAAGAACAATTAGCAATTGAAAGAGGTCTCTAATTATTGTTTATTACTGAGAAATTTAAGACCAAAAAATCTTTTTAAATAATTGGAGACAAAAATTTAGTCTCTGATTACATAGAGGTTAGAGAAATATTCACTCAAATGAATTAGAAACAAAAAAATCAATCTTAAGTTTTAATTAGCCCAAAAAATAACAAAAATATTGTCTTTATTTACATTTTGCAATTAAAGAAAAATTAATCAGTCTCTACGCTTATTAATAACTATTAGTTTAGTCAATGTCAAAACCAATCCTAAATTTCAATATGTTTCACACCCTAAATTAGTCTCTAGATAGAAAATTTCTTATACTAACCATATTTTTATCAACAAAACATTAAATCTTATCGACTCAATTAGGATTAGCCTTGGAGTAGTCAACTCTCTAATATCCTAGCTTCTACAATTGTTCATACCTTTTGGGTGATATGATATGGTCATAATCGCTTGCACTTTAAGAATTGAACAATTTCACTACATCAAGTTATTTAATGGATTGTTGTTTGGGTTGCATTGTCTAGTAGTTTGTCCAAAGGTTATTCATTTCGTTTGATGGTAGAATTCCAAATTATGAAGCATTTTATAGCTACTCTTAAGCCTCATGTTGGCCCTGTTATTAAGCAAGTCAATTGATATCCTCTAGTTATTGGTTTTATTAAGTGTGATATTGATGGCAAAGCTTGTGGAGCTCCTTGGCATGCGGCTAGTGACAGTATTTTTAGGGATAACAATGGTGCTTTTGTTTGTGGATTTACCTCATATATTGGCATGAAAACAACTATGTAGGTAGAACTCACTACGCTAATGATTGCTATTGAATATGCTCAATTAGTTGGTTAACATTGATTATGGTTGAAAAGTGATTCAGAGCCTGCTTTGCAAGCTTTTTCTAATGTAAGTCTAGCCCCCCGGGATCTTTATAGTAGATGGAAGCATTTTTTAGTTCTTTGTTCACAGACGCATCTTGTCTATTTTGACATTTATAGGGAAGCAAATCAATGAGTTGATAAGTTAGCTAGTTTAGGATTTGTTTCTGTGAGGCCCCGTAACTCCTTCCCTCCTTTCCCTCTTCTGCTCACTTACTCACTCTCACCTCCCACTCTTTCATTCTCACTCACTTGGCTGATTCCTTCTTATTCCTTGGACTGAAGGTGGTGATTCACATTAGGCAAATCTAGCGGAGCTATGTGGTCTCTTCTCAAAGCTTCTTCTTCCTCTTCTGTTCAAGCTCCCTTTCATCTCCTTCTCCATTATCTCTTCCCAGAAACTCGGATTCTTCACCAAGGTAAGGGAAGCTAGGTTTTTTTTGTCGTTTTTGGATGCAATTGAGTTCTAAGAACTTATTTGGCTGCTGAAGTTTGATTATTGTGGTTGAGGAGGAAATAAATGGTTTTGGGTTTTTTGGGAGTTTTGAGAAAATTTTGAATAATTCTTGTTTCGTGGTTGCATGTGAGAAATGTAGTGTTTTTATTGATCTTTGATGGAAATAATGGCTTTTGGCTGGACTGCATGTGCTGGGAATGGAAACTTTTGCAGGTTTTGGACTAGATTTTTGAACTTGGTAGGTTGCTGCTGAGCTGCGCGCTGAGCGCAGTTCTTTGCGTCGGGCGCGTGACCACCTGAGGCTTCATTCAAGCAAGCCCGCCGGGCGCAAAGGTGTGTGCGCCGGGCGAGCTTATGAATGTGAGCCTCTAGATGGCTTACGCTGGGCGTGCATTGGACCGCGCAAGACGCGCTATCAGTAGGCGACATGTTTTGGGGTTTCTACTTAACTGTGTTATGAGCTGAATTATTGTGTTGATTAATGCTAAGCTGTATGTTGCTGTTATAGCCGCTAAGTCGGTGCTGTTAGCCACTATTGTGGTGTTGTTATAGCTGCTAAGTCGGTGTTGTTAGCCACTATTGTGGTGCTGTTATAACCGCTAAGTTGGTGCTGTTAGCCATTATTGTGGTGCTGTTATAGCTGCTAAGTCGGTGCTGTTAGCCACTATGGTGGTGCTGTTATAGCCGCTAAGTCGGTGCTGTTAGCCACTATCGTGGTGTTGTTATAGCCGCTAAGTCAGTGTTTATATTGCTGAATTGCCGTGGTGAAAATAAGCTGTGTGGGCGTGATGATAGCTATAAATGTTTCTATGTCTATAGTACATATATGTATGTTGATTTCTTTACACTAGCTTACCCTTTTTTGTTTTCCATGATGTTTGGACTGCGATGATCATACTATGTATGGGAGCAGAGCAGGGATAGGTTGGTAGCTGATAGTTGGGCTGTAGCTGGCAGTTGGAGCTGATCCTCTTAGGATGTTTTTTTGTGTTTTGTTGATTAGCCACTTGGTGGAGCAGTTGATGATGTATTTTGTTATTCACTTTAACTCTATTGAGATTGGATCATGTATATATATATATATATATTCTAGACTCTATATGTATACAGTTGTTCTATTCTGTACGGTGTTTCTAGTGTGATGTGTCGGGTCGTTACACTTTAGTGGTATCAGAGCAGGTCGAATCTAGGGAACACTCTTTGGGGGTGGTTCCGTTAGGCTTTTGTTGAGTTAGCTCTGTGTTGTGCTGTCTTGCTGTGATGTTTGCTGTGCTGGATTTGCTGTGATGATTTGTTGTGTTGTTGATTGTTGTTTGGTTTAGTTATTGTTTACTAAAGATGCTGTTACTTTTGTAGACGATGACTAGGACCAACGAGCAGATAGCCCGTGCCATAAAGATGATGGCTATGGCTATGCAACAGCAAAATGCTTATTTTGCTAGGATGGAGGCAGAGAGAGCTGCAGCTGGTGCAGCAAGACCTACAGGGTCACAGGAGAGTCGGGATCTTACCGAGTTCTGGAAGTGTAATCCTCCGCAGTTTGTAGAAGATGCAGATCCAGAGACCATTGACTGCTGGATCCGTGAGCTAGAGAAGATTTTTAATGTACTGGGAAGTTCTTCAGAGAAGAGGTAAGCATATGTTGTGTATATGCTTGTTGGGGAGGCTGAGCATTGGTGGAGGGGCACCTATCAGATGCTTGCTGCCAGAGGAGTTACAGTTGACTGGGAATGTTTCAGGACGGTGTTCATGGAAAAGTACTTCCCTGAGAGTGTGAGGCACGCCAAGGAGGCTGAGTTTATGAGGTTACACCAAGGAGGGATGACAGTTTCTGAATATGCGATGAAATTCGAGCACCTGGCTCGTTTTTATTCGCAAGGTATAACTGAGGCCTGGAAATGCAGGAAGTTTATTGATGGTTTGAGATATGAACTAAAGAGGGTGGTGGTGCCTATGGCCATCACTGAGTTTTCGGCCTTAGTGGAGAAGGCAAAGGTGGTGGAATGGTTGGAGGGTGGCAACCGGGTTATGAGGACTGCTGGTGGGCCATATGGGTCCAAGAGGGGCGAGAGTCAGAGGAAGTTGTATGATAGACCCCAATCACAGCAAGGGGGCTCTGGTAGTAGGCAATCTTCCAGTACTGCTAGTGGAGGTAGACAGAGTGGAGGTGCCACTCTGAGATGTTACAGGTGTGCTGGGCCACACTTTATTAGGGACTGTCCATACACGGAGAGTCGTTGCTTCAGATGTCATCAGATGGGCAACGAGTCCACCAACTGCCCTGCTAGAGGCAGACCAGAGAGGAGTACTCAGAGGAGTGATGTGTAGAGGGCTGATACTCAGAGGAGTAGCGCACAGAGAGCTGACACACAGAGGGGTGAGAGACTCACTACTACTGGTAGGGTATTTGCCTTGACAGGTGCTGAGGCTTCGAATTTTTCTGATCTTGTGAAGGGGAAGGGCAAAGCTGCTGGTAAGGATGTGATAATTCTCTTTGACTCTGGTGCTATGCATTCCTTTATATCTTATGCATGTGCTGCTATGCTGGGTATACCGGTGTGTGATATGGGGTTGAGACTGCTAGTGTCTATGCCCGCTTCTGCTTCTGTGATTACTTCTGAATTGTGTGTTGGTTGCTTGATTGAGGTGAATGAGAAGAAGTACAAGGTGAACTTGATTTGTTTACCTTTGGTGGATATTGACATAATCTTAGGGATGGATTGGTTGTCTGCTAATCGCATTCTTATAGATTGTGCCAATAGGAGGTTGATTTTCCCTCAGGAGGAGAATGAGCTGTTGATCTCAGCTGGCCAGGCTGAGTCCTTGCTGAGAGATGGAGCAGAGTGCTGTCTTCTGCTTGCTACCATGAGTGTGGAGACCGAGAGGGTCTTAGATGATATTGAGGTGGTGAGAGACTTTGCTGAGGTATTTCTTGATGAGGTGCCAGGGTTGCCTCCTGTTAGGGAGCTGGAGTTCAGCATTGACTTGGTTCTAGGTGCGGGGCCAGTGTCGGTGGCTCCCTATCAGATGGCTCCTGCTGAGCTGGTTGAGCTGAAGGGTCAGTTGGAGGACTTGTTGGAAAAGCAATTGGTGCGACCGAGTGTTTTGCCGTGGGGTGCTCCGGTGTTATTAGTAAGGAAGAAGGATGGAGGTAGTCGACTGTGTGTTGATTACCAGCAAATGAACAAGTTGACCATTAAGAACAAATATCCACTTCCCCGGATAGATGACTTAATGGATCAACTGACGGGAGCATCAGTGTTTTCCAAGATTGACTTGAGGTCAGGCTATCACCAGATCAGGGTGAAGGAGGGTGACATACCAAAGACTGCTTTCAGGACTAGGTATGGTCACTATGAGTATGTTGTGATGTCGTTCGGTGTGACTAACGCCCCTGCAGTGTTGATGGACTACATGAACAGGATCTTCCGGCTGTTCTTAGATAAGTTTGTTGTGGTATTCATTGATGACATCTTGATTTACTCAAGGACCCGGGAAGAACACGGTGAGCACTTGAGGACAGTATTGGAGATTTTGAAAGCGAACCAGCTGTATGCTAAGCTTTCAAAATGTGAGTTCTGGTTGGATGAGGTGAAGTTATTGGGCCACGTGATTTCTACTGAGGGGATTGTTGTTGATCCGGTCAAGGTGGAGTCAGTGTTGCAGTGGGAGCGCCCGAGAACTGTCACTGATATCAGGAGTTTTGTGGGTTTGGCAGGATACTATAGGAGGTTCATTGAGGGATTCTCCAAGATAGTAGCGCCTTTAACCCAGCTGACGAAGAAAGAGCAGCCTTTTATTTGGACTGATGCTTGTGAGCAGAGTTTTGTTGAGCTGAAACGGAGATTGACTACTTCTCCTATATTAGTATTGCCAGATTCTGGTGAGTCTTTTGATGTGTACTGTGATGCCTCTCATTAGGGTCTGGGATGTGTATTGATGCAAAATAGGAGAGTGGTGCCATATGCTTCAAGGCAACTGAAGACTCATGAGAGGAACTATCCCACTCATGACCTGGAGTTAGCAGTTGTGGTGTTTGCCTTGAAGACTTGGAGGCATTACTTGTATGGTGCTCGGTTCAGCGTCTTCATTGGTCATAAGAGTTTGAAGTATCTGTTTGATCAGAAGGAGCTAAACATGAGGCAGAGGCGGTGGATGGAGTTTTTGAAGGATTATGACTTTCAGTTGATGTATCATCCGGGCAAGGCCAATGTGGTGGCAGATGCGCTGAGTAGGAAATACATCCACATGTCGAGTATGATGATGAAGGAGCTGGAGCTGGTTGAGGAATTCAGAGATTTAAATCTCTGTGTGGAGTTAGCTCAGGATCATATTAGTTGTGGGGCAGTTACCATAACTAGTGAGTTCTTGAGGCAGGTTGGACTCAAGCAGTTACAGGATGCGGAGTTGGTAAGACTTCTTGGTTTGCTGGGTACCGAGAAAACTACTGTTTTTGAGCTGGGAGAAGATTGGATCTTGAGGTTCAGAGGCAGGATCTGTCTACCTCAGGATGCTGAGCTGAGGAGAGCTGTATTGGAAGAAGGCCACAAGAGTATTCTTAGCATACACCCGGGTTTGACTAAGATGTACCAAGACCTCAAGAAGAATTTCTGGTGGTCTGGTATGAAGAGGGAGATTGCTGAGTATGTGGTAGCCTATCTGACCTGTCAGAAGGCAAAGGTTGAGCATCAGAAACCAAGTGGGTTGATGCAACAAATTGAGATTCCAGAATGGAAGTGGGATAGTGTCACTATGGACTTTATTGTTAGGTTGCCTAGGTCAGCTAGGAATAGTGATGCTATCTGGGTGATTGTTGACCGGTTGACCAAGTGGGCGCATTTTTTGCTTGTCAACATCAAGTGGTCCTTGGATAAGCTGACACAGTTGTATGTGAGGGAGATAGTACGGTTGCACGGGGTGCCTTCCAGTATTATTTTCGACCGGGATCCGAGGTTCACTTCTAGATTTTGGCAGAGTTTACACCAAGCTATAGGCACGAAGATGAAGCTGAGTTCTGCCTATCATCTGCAGACGGATGGTCAGTCAGAAAGGACAATCCAGTCCTTGGAGGATCTGTTGAGGGCTTATGTGTTGGACCACTTGGGTAGCTGGGAGGAGGTATTACCGCTTGTGGAGTTTACTTACAACAACAGTTTTCATGCTAGTATTGGGATGGCGCCGTTTGAAGCCTTATATGGCAGGAGATGTAGGACTCCTCTGTGCTGGTATCAGGATGGTGAGTTAGTGGTTGTGGGACCAGAGTTGATCCTACAGACTACTGAGAAGGTAAAGATGATTCAGGAGAAGATGAGGATTGCTTAGAGTAGGCAGAAATCTTATGCAGATAAAAAACGTAAGCCTTTGGAGTTTGCTGAGGGGGAGCATGTGTTCCTGAAGGTGACTCCGACTTCTGGTGTGGGCAGAGCACTAAGGGCACGGAAGTTGACACCGAGGTTCGTGGGTCCCTATCAAATTATACAGCGTGTGGGTCCGGTTGCTTATCGGTTGGCTTTGCCACCGTCTCTTTCAAACCTACACGATGTATTTCATGTATCTCAGCTGAGGAAGTATGTGAATGACCCGAGTCATGTGGTAGAACTGGATGATGTGCAAGTGAAGCCGAATCTGACGTTTGAGAAGTTACCGATAGCTGTGGTTGATTATAAGCTGAAGGAGCTGAGGGGCAAGTCTATTGCTCTAGTGAAGGTATTATGGGATGCAGCTACTGGTAAGGCTACTTGGGAGGTGGAGCAGCAATGCAGAGATCGATATTCATTTCTTTTCCCAAGTAAGTTTGTTTTCGGGGACAAAAACTTTTGTTGTTGGGGAGGTTGTGAGGCCCCGTAAATCCTTCCCTCCTTTCCCTCTTCGGCTCACTTACTCACTCTCACCTCCCACTCTTTCATTCTCACTCACTTGGCTAATTCCTTCTCATTCCTTGGACTGAAGGTGGTGATTCACATTAGGCAAATCTAGCGGAGTTGTGTGGTCTCTTCTCAAAGCTTCTTCTTCCTCTTCCGTTCAAGCTCCCTTTCATCTCCTTCTCCATTGTCTCTTCCCGGAAGCTCGGATTCTTCACCAAGGTAAGGGAAGCTAGGTTTTTTTATCGTTTTTGGATCAAATTGAGTTCTAAGAACTTATTGGCTGCTGAAGTTTGATGATTGTGGTTGAGAAGGAGGAAATAAATGGTTTTGGGTTTTTTTGGAGTTTTGAGAAAATTTTGAATAATTCTTGTTTCGTGGTTGCATGTGAGAAATGTAGTGTTTTTATTGATCTTTGATGGTAATAAGGGCTTTTGGCTGGACTGCATGTGCTGGGAATGGAAACTTTTGCAGGTTTCGGACTAGATTTTTGAACTTGGTGGGTTGCTACTAAGCTGCACGCTGAGCGCAGTTCTTCACGCCGGGCGCGTGACAACCTGGGGCTTCATTCAGGCAAGCCCGCCGGGCGCAAAGGTGTGTGCGCCGGGCGAGCTTGTGAATGTGAGCCTCTGGATGACCCACGCCGGGCGTGGATTGGACTGCGCCAGACGTGCTATCAATAGGTGGCATGTTTTGGGGTTTCTGGTGCCAGGCTGGGCGCGTGTTTGGCCTTGCTGGGCGCGGGGGATCCTTGTGGGTCTTTGCCAAGAGGGCGCTGGGCGCAATGCGCATTTCGCCGGGCGCGAGACCGTGGTAGGTCTCTGCCTTCCCTGCGCTGGGCGCGAGTTAGGCTACGCCAGGCGTGTGAAACTCTTGAGAGTCTCTGCCTGGGCTTGCGCTGGGCGCAATTGAGAATTGTGTCAGGCGTATGAGAGCCTTGAGCTTTCTGGTTGAGGTACGCTAGGCGCGAGCATGCTTGCGCCGGGCGTGCTGATCCCCGTGATACTTCTGGATGTGCCACGCTGAGCGCATCAATGGGCGCGCCGGGCACGTATGAGGATGTTAACTTGATGACTAGTGGTTGTTTAAATTGGCTGAACTTGCTGAGAGAGGTTATCTTATGCTGAATTAAGCAAAATTGGAAGATTATGCTGAGCTATTATTGATGATTTTATGTGCTGTATCATATAATATTGTTGTGCTCTAGAATGATGAGCTAAGTTGTGAGTAGTAGGCTATGTTGATTTCTACTTAACTGTGTTATGAGCTGAATTGTTGTGTTGATTAATGTTGAGCTGTATGTTGTTGTTATAGCTGCTAAGTCGGTGTTGTTAGCCACTATTGTGGTGCTGTTCTAGTCGCTAAGTCAGTGTTGTTAGCCACTATTGTGGTGCTGTTATAGCCGCTAAGTCGGTGCTGGTTGGCACTCTTGTTTTATAGCCGCTAAGTCGGTGCTGTTAGCCACTA